AACTGATTATGGAAATCAACTTAATTTTTTAACCTTAAAATAATCCATTATTTTGGATAATGCATAGGTGACCAGAAATCAAGATATTTTCCTACCAATTGTTTGGGTGCTGTATATCCCTCAGATTAACATTCAGACTAGGAAAGAAAGAGAATTACATTGTCCTGTAATGTCTACTACACCTCAGCCATCTTCTGAGCAATTTGGAATCCTTCCATCAAAACCAGCCCCCCTTAGCCTGCTCCTCCAGCCCCAGCCCTCTCCCGCCCCACCCCTACAATTGCTTTGACTAGAATTGCTTCCTATTTGAGGAGGGTGGAGTTAAAAGTTGTTCTGCATCTGCTCCCTTTAAATCCCTTAAAGTGGGTTCCATAAAATGTCCATGGTGTTCTTAGAAGGAAAGGTTTGGATAATGTTGCCTGAGTTAATATTAATTTGAAATATTCCCTATAAATCATTACCTCCTTTTTGGAAACACCAAAAATACATAATGCGTGGTGCAAGTGAAATGAATAGCAAAAAAACAAACAAAACAAAAAAAAACACACACACATACTATAATGTTATTCTGATCCTCAGTGGCCGGGTTAATCAAATATAGCCTATTTGTGTGTGGAGGACATACAATGCAGTATACAAATCATGTATCATAGAGATATACAATTGAAACCTATATGATCCTATTAACCAGTGTTACCCAATAGATTTATTGAGAAAAAATAAAAAAATAACCAGAAAATAATCAAATTCATTATCGCTGGTAAAGTCACCAGAATAAAAGCTCTGAGGTACAACACAATGTAAAGCTTGCATACTAGCTTATTTCTCCTTCTAGGACAAATTAATTCAAGAAAAAGTGTGAAAAATAAATTTTTGTGATCCAAATCCTGTTTTAAAAGCCATGCCTCATTTTTTCATGTCACTTTACATTTTCAAAGCATTTGAATGAATGCTTTCTCGGGGAAACCACTTTCTCAGCAACCCTGTTAGTAGCTGGAATTGAGGGAAACTGAGGCAGCTCAATGATTTGGCCAGACACATAGAAAGCAGTAGAGTGGAGGCTCCGGACCAAGTCCACACATTACTTTGGTTGAGGGAAGATGCCCACCTCCTCCTGTGAAGTAAATGAATCCTCTGAAATATAGCCACATGCTCATTTTTTCCATGTTAGAAAATGTGGGTTTTCACGTTGGATATGTTTAAAGCAGCGTGTGCCTGTATGTATAGTATGTTTTTGTTTGCTCTCATTTCTATTTTGGGGGAATAATTCATGGCTGGATTATTTTACCTGTCCCATAGTCATTATTATGGAATATAACATTTTATCCTCTGATTGGACAGGAAATAATGACTTGCCTTAAAGAGATTAGTTTCCATCCTGATTAATATTTATCCTTTAAGAAAAAAATTCCACTTGTTCAAAATTTCTTTAACATCTTAGAACACAGCTGTGATTTCACCTTTAATCCACTATACTGATCTCAAACGCATGACTACCTAGGCAAATTAATCTGCATTATTTGTCGTTTGAGATTGGCCTTTCAACCAGAGAAGCCATCCTTTGTGCCAGCCTGCAGGTTGAATATCAGGAATCACAACTTCTCTGGAAAAGGAAGCGAGTTTGTGGTTTAAAGATCCAATCTTATTTTATTCCTGTTACCAACCCCGTTGTAGATACTTTGGGAACCAGTAAACTGGTTTCAGTTCATTCATCTGAAAACTCAAGGAGAAGCTTCCTTATAAGGACTTGTGTCAGCAAGTAAAGAACTAATATTTACAGAGTAGGAGTAGTTTGAGTTGCTCAGAAAAAGGTTCTAGACCAGGAGTGGGGAATGTCTGGCCCGAGGGCTTTATAAGGTTTGCCCTGCCAAGGCATTAGGGGTGAGTTACTTAAATGTTTGACCAAATATAGCAGGCTAATTTTTAAGTTGATGATTTTGTATGGCCTATGAATGGCCCTTGGCAGAAAAAAGGTTCCCCACCCCTGTTCCAGAGGAAGGAGAATAATCGTTTTTGGTTCTTATATCAAAAACTAGGATGGTAATTCCTTCAAAGCTTTCACATTTGACAATTCTATAAAAGCTGCTAAGCACTTAAATAACAGAGACCAGTGGAAAAGAGGAACCCAGAGTTCAAACCTGATATTAAATCTCTTTGCAATTTAAAGCAGGTAATTTGTTTCCCTATTTATCAAGGGAAATGATGATAGCTCACTCTGCATCATAGAATATTGAAAAGAAACACCTAAGATAAGTTGAGCTCCTGAAAGAAAAGTAATGCTGAAATGTAAGGAGTCCATACAAATTGCTTTAAAACGCCTTACAGCCCCCAGCAACAAAGTGAGTTAAACTTCTTACTTCAACAGGCTGGCTTATAAAGCTCACCCATTAGCTATTTTGACAGGTTATACTGTTTTCCTGGGTCCTGCTCAAAGAGTCTTACACATTTTAAAAATCCTTGCAGGAATCTTAGCTTGAAGATGCAAATAACCTTCTAACCCCCTAGTAACTGTTTGAATATCTACTTGTTCCTGGACACAGCAGGGACCCCAGGCCAGAGGGACCCATTGAAGAAATCCTAGATCCCTTTGACCAGCAGCCACGTTAGCATGGAGTAACGGGAATCAATTGTTCTGGCAGCCACCCATATATGCATTAGGATTTTCCCATTCTGGCTTGACCCTGACTTTCATATATTTAGTTTTTATACAGTTAAAATTCTGAACATGGATAACCCTAAACTGCTTTTTTATTCAAGTAATAAATTTAGTTTCTTATATATCAACTGAGCAATAATTTTCATCCTCACCATAACCTCTGTAGAAAAGGCTTCTGTTTTATTGGAGGGGGCACAGTGTAAGCACTCCCTCGATCCTACTCCCCCCAACCCCCTCACCACACCCCACTGCTGAGGAACCCTGGTCCCCAGGCCCTTCAGAACTAGAGCCAGCATGTTCCCTGGACCTGCTCAGTGAGCCTCCTTTCCCACACCAGCAGGCCCCTTGCAGCCCTGCCTCCCAGAAAGTCTGGAATGGATTTGGAGTGAGGGTGAAGGACGGAGGGAACTGTAGGGGGGGGGAGCCAGAGGAGGTCACTCACATCCTAAGGCCACTCACAACCTTTGCTCTGGGGTTTTAAGAGAAGATTCCTTTCCCCCATTCATTGTCCCAATTTCAGGCATTTACTGTCATTGAGGTTGACCTTTTTACCTCATCCATTGTGGTGAAATCAGTTCCCTAGAAATCAGGCTTGGCTTACCTCCACTTCTCTGGTCTTTATAGAGTGACATTTACAAACCTGCACTGCCTCCCCAGGACCCCCTGAGGCCTGAAACTTGTTTACCAGCCAGATTGCCTAGCTCCAGGAAAGAAGACACATGTACGCACACGTTTTGGGCTGCATTCTTTCTTCTTAGTGCTCTCACACAACAGCAATCTCCATTCCCTCCTCCCTCAAAATAACTTGTGAATCCACCATTGAAATGCTGACTTTATAACAATGTATTGGAAAAGTATGTTGGTGTGCTCCAATTGTATTGGAAAGAAAAATCTGGGCTAAAAGTAGGGAATCAGAAATTTCCTAGGTTTTAGAGATCTTTGATTGTTTTGACCATTTTGTGTGTGTGTGTGTGTGTGTGTGTGTGTGTGCGCGCGCGCGTGTGTATGACAGAGAGAGAGAGAGAGAGAGAGAGAGAGAGAGAGAGAGAGAGAGAGAGAAGGCAGTGGGAGATTTTAAAGGGACAAATAATCAGATGGGAGAAGGATCAGGTTGTAGAAGAGGGTGACCACACTGTCTGCCGCCACCGGCTCCACAGAGCAGTGCTTTCAGGGACACACACATCTGCTGAGAGTCCCTGTAGGCCCCCAGGACTGAGCAGGAAAGGCTGTGCCCACAGCAGAGTGGCCTGGCTGCTAGATCACCAAACTGAGTATGAGCCAACCCAGCTCATTCAAAACTGTACTCATTTGTAGGGCAGATTTCCTCCCCTGCGTCACTCTCACATGGCCACATACCTCTCCCCCACCCCCCCACCCTCAGACTTGGTCTTTTGAAGCAGGTCCTTGTTTTCTTTGACCACATTGAGCCACCTTGTTGTTTATACAAGCTATGTTATCTAGTATTGTTGAGTCACCCTTATATTTATTGCCTACACCTACTGCCTTCTCAGGTAGCTTCTGGGGTTCTGCCCTGGGAATAGAGTTCTCTGACTTAAGAAGCTGAACTTATTTTTATTTTTTCAAGTATGTATACTTTTTAAACATATTTTATTTTTTTACAGAGAGGAAGGGAGAGAGAGAGAGAGAGTTAGAAACATTGATGAGAGAGAAACATTGACCAGATGCCTCTTGCACACCCCCAACCGGGAATGTGCCCCGCTACCAAGGTACATGCCCTTGACCGGAATCGAACTGAGCCAAACAGGTTTTAGCTCAAGTATATATTTATTGATTTCAGAGAGGAAGGGAGAGGGAAAGAGAAAAACATAAATGATGAGAATCATTGTTCAGCTGCCTCCTGCACACCCCCTACAGGGGATGAAGTACACAACCCGGGCATGTGCCCCGACTGGGAATGGAACAGTGACCTCCTGGTTCATAGATCCAGGCTCAACCACAGAGCCACATCAGCCAGGCCAAGAAGCTGAATTTTTATAGTATAGACCCACCTAAGGCCAATAAGTGATTCCCAGATTTCTTAGTATTGTAACAGACACTCCTTCCCATTGTGAAAATTTCCTCTCCCCTTTCTTTGCTTCCCTTTAAAATATTTAATTATATATTTTACTTTTAATTTCAACTATTATTTTGAAAAGCTTGTAGATAATGCTGTGATAATCTTTCATCATTTGCTACATCCAAGGATAATGTTAAACCAGCACGGAAAAACACTAATATAAATCTAATACTTGTTTTGGGCCTTAATACTTAATATGCTTAAAATATGCTCCTGTTATACAGTGTTTAACTACTATTTTATCTTAATGGATGTGCTTGCTTGCAGGGAATCTTCACCGAGCTAGCAGTGTTCCTGAGTATGTCTACAACCTGCACTTGGTGGAAAATGACTTTGCCGGCCGGCATTCCCCCGCTCCTAAAACCTATGACAGGTTAAAGGTAGGACGCCAAAGAACGCGACCCTCGTTACCAGAAACCATGTTCATCTCCCATAGAGTAGTTTTTAATGTTGCCTTTCCGAAACACTGCTTTCCCCAAAAGAATCATGAGAAGGTTGATTTTGTGTGGACACTGTAGAAAAACTGGAAATTTAAAACCGCATCAAATCCCGGTGCAAAGAACTCGTCACAGCCCGTTGCACCAAGTCTTGTTTAAAAACAGATTTTACCCAGAAAGGGCCCGTCTCCTCCAGGTGACTCAGAGACAGGGACACCTTGTGTAAGAACCCCCGGGATAGTTAGGCTTCGCCAGAGACGGACACTGACGTGTGCCTCATTGTAATCTTTCTCTCTCCCTCCTGCAGTCAGGCCAGACCATGGCGTATGAAGGTCGCTGGGGGAGAGGAACCGCCCAGTACAGCTCACAGAAGTCCGTGGAAGACAGATCCCTGAGGCAGCCCCTGCGGAGGCTGGAGATCTCCCCGGACAGCAGCCCGGAGCGGGCGCGTTACCCGCACAGCGAGTACCAGTACAGCCAGCGCAGCCAGGCCGGCCACACGCTGCGGCACCGCGACAGCCTGCGGGCCGCCCTGCAGCCGCCCCGCTACGCCCGCTCCGAGATCCTGGGCTTCACGGCGGCGGCCGCGGGCCGGCAGCAGCGCTACTACGACACGTACCACCACCACCGGCAGGTGCAGTACGGCTCCGTGAACGACTCCGTGTTCGACGGGCCCCCTCCCAACCCCGCCGTGCGGCCCTACCCCAGGCCCGGGACCAGCCACAGCATGAGCAACCTCCTGGAGAAAGAGAACTACCTGACGGCAGGCGCGGCCCACGGGCAGGTCAGGCCGCTGCTGCCCCTGCAGCCCACTGCCACCGCCGCCGCGCAGAGCCGGGCCGCCCGGGCCTCCTGGCACCAGAGCTCCTTCCACAGCTCACGCACCATGAGGGACGCCGCGCCCACGGTCGCCGTGGATTCCGGCGGGAGGAGGACGCACATGACCTTGACCGCAGGCCAGGTGGCTGCAGGAAGTGGGACCACCTGGGCTGCAGGAAGTGGGACCGTGCAGGCCGAGAGAGCGGTTTACACAGACGCCCAGCTCAGGTGAGAGGCCCCTTCACAGTCTGCAGTTCCCACCGCCCTCAGGCTGAGCCGGCACTTGCCAGGCTGCAGAGAAAGGTGTTCAGAGATTAGTGATTCCAGGAACGGCTTTGCAGGCAGCTGCCTAATTGACAGATTAGCCTATGTACCTCAGGGACAGAGGCCAGGCTACCTGCTGCTAAGGCAGCTTTGGAGGGAAATGTGACAAGGAGTCCATCTGTTACAGCTCCAAATTAAATGCTGGCTGAAGGGTTACGGCTACCTCTCAGCTGATTGGGCACTAACTCCAGTAAACCACGACATGGATAACTGCATGCATATTCTTGAAATAAAGGAAGGGAAAAGGCAAAAAGGCTCTTCCAAGTGCTGAGTGAACCAAGTAGTATTTTGATAAACTACTACCACAGAAAGGCTGATTGCTAAGCAAGGCAACTAATTTTAGATGTCTCCTTCCTTTTGTACCCGATACGTTTTTATTTTTTTTTTAATATGTTTTACTGATTTTTTTTTATTTTTTATTTTTTATTTTTTTTACAGAGAGGAAGAGAGAGGGTAGAGAGTTAGAAACATCAATGAGAAATAATCATCAATCAGCTGCCTCTTGCACCATCCCTACTGGGGATGTGCCCGCAACCAAGGAACATGCCCCTAACCAGAATCGAACCCGGGACCTTTCAGTCCGCAGGCCGATGCTCTATCCACTGAGCCAAACCAGTTTTGGCTCGATACGTTTTGTTTTAAAAAAAGGTTTTAATTTTAAAAATTATTGATTTTTAGCAAGAGAGAAAGAGGGAAACATTGATTTGCTCTTCCACTTATTGATGAACTCATTGATTGGTTCTTATATGTGCCCTGACCAGGGAAAGAGCCCACAACCTTGGCATTAGGTGCTTTAACCACCTGAGCTATCCAACAAGGGATACTTTTTTAGTCAGTGATTTGGAGGGCATTTTTTGGTAATGCCAAATAATTTTTAAAATTGAATTTTCAAAGTTATTCCTTTGCCTGTATTACTTTGGCTTGACTAATCTTACTTTGGAACTAAATCCTATTCAAGTTTAATGCTGGGGTACAAATTTTATAAACTGAGGAGAAAGTTACAAAGAGAAAGGTTTTAGAAATGGATGGATGGTTAAGTTACTACGTCCTGAAATAATGATGTATCATTATGGTAAAACATTAAATATATGATTTTTGTTTGATTTCTAATGTTGCTTAGTGGAAGCTGTCCCCTTTAATTGTCTCTTTAAGTGACATGGTACAGTAAAATTGTTGACTATGCAGGTACTGCTGATAGAAGATGATAGGGCTAGCCTAAACTATAAGCAGGAAATATTTTTATAAAGCAAAATTCTGCATGAGACTTCAAACATTTCTTGTAGAAAGCAGATCTTTGTCAATACAGACACACTTAAAGAGAAGAAAATTGCATGAGTTAATTATGGAAAGAAAAAGCTGATTAAGGCTTTTAAATGGCTAATTCAAAATGTATTGAATGCCTACTATTATATCCTAGATAATAAAGATGTAATATGCAAATGATCGTTATGCTATGAAGCATAACCACTGACCACATAATGACTGGATCACGGATCAGCAGGAAGGTGGGACAGTGAGGTAAAAGCAGGCAGCAGTGGAGAGCTGCAGGAGGGGGCAGGGCAGCAAGCTATGAGGGGAGCAGGGAGAGCTTAAAGAGGGCAGGGCAGTGCATGGAGAGTTACTGGAGGGCGGCAGCAAGCTACTGTTGAGCTACTGGTGCATGGATTCATGTGCAGGGCTTACTACCCTGTTTCCCCGAAAATAAGATAGTGTCTTATATTAATTTTTGCTCCCAAAGTTGTGCTAGGTCTTATTTTCAGGGGATGTCTTATTTTTCCATGAAGAAGAATACGGTACACATTTATTGTTAAATGAAAATAAAGGAAATTTATTACCTGTATACGGTACGGTAGTACGGTAGTTGTCAACACAAACCAGACAAACTGTGAATCCTACAGTATCAAGAATTTACTCATTTATTCAATGGCAATCATGTCATCATCTTCTGAAACATCATCATAACAATCCAATTCCTAAATTTCCTGGTGAATTTCTTGTGACTCCATTTCTTTCAGAATCAGTGGACCAAATCTCTCATGTTTAGCAATAGCATTCTGCGACGGAGCCTAGGGGGGGCCTTATTTTCGGGGGGATGCCTTATATTTCACTCAGAAGGAAACCTGTAAGTAGGCCTTATTTTCGGAGGATGTCTTATTTTCGGGGAAACACGGTAGCATTCTAAGATTTGTGATAAGCACAATTTTAATGAAATTATTTTACCCATAACAGAGCTATCATGCCATATCCTACAGCAACTGGCATTCTCTTCCTTCACCCCTGTGCCCCATGCTCCTAAAGCCACCCTCTCACTTCCCAGTCTCTCATCAACCCACTGCACTATGGTGTTGCTCCCGCCCTTTGACTGCCTTATTGCTACACGAGAAGTACACACACACCAGTCCTTTCCAGTATTGAGCTGCTGGGCAGCATCTGACCACTGCCTGGGAAATTCTCTCTTCCCCAGGTTTTCAGGCGCCAGCCTCTCCTGGTTTTGCATTGCAGACATTGCTTCTTAGTTTTCTAAGAAAAGACTTTTCTGCATGCCCGAAGAAGTCATCTTTGGTAATCTTTCTCTTCTAAGCTTTCATGCTCTTCCAGAGAGGCTCTGAGTACTACACTTACATCCTGTGATTCCCAAAGTTTTGTTTTTTACCTCTGTTCTCTTACCTGAACTCTAGATTTGTATATGCAGGGTGGGGCAAAAGTAGGCTTTTAGTTGCAAGTACACGAAACACAGAGTTTATTCTTTTATTATTATTTATTAACTAGAGCCCGGCACACGAAATTCATGCCCAGGTAAGGTCCATAGGCCTGGCCTGCGATCGGGGCCATCTTCTCCAGCTGCCCACAGCCAGCTCTGCCCCTCCCGCTGTCACTCACCCCCAGTTCCTCGTTCACCGTCAGGCAGTCAGAGTCTGCGGGCAGTGGGGAGGAACGAAGAGGTTGTATTATTTTCCATACAAACAACTGTAAGCCTACTTTTGCCCCACCCTGTATTTTTAGTAACCTCCTGGACATCCCCAAGTCAGTATATCCCGTCCTTCACCCCCACCCCAAACTAAGTTTATCGGCTTTTCCCAACCTTCTACTCTTAACCATCTCCTCATTATACTAGTAAATCTTGCTGTTTATAAACCTACAGGTCATTCTTATCTTCTCCCTCCACAATCACTTATTACCAACTAGAGGCTGACACATGAAATTCATAAACGGGGAGGGTCCTCTCAGCCCAGCCTGCACCCTCTCCAATTCAGGACATTCCTCTCACAATCCTAAAATGCTGGCTTCTAATCGCTTACCTGCCTGCCTGCCTGGTCACCCCTACTGCTTCCCCCCCCCCCTCCCCGCTAGCCTGATCACCCCCAACTGCCTCCTCCCTGCCAGCCTGGTTGTTCCTAACTGCTCCCTCCACTAGCCTGGTCACTCCTTATTGCCCCGCTGCCCACCTGGTCGTCCACAACTGCACCCCACCACCACCAGCCTGGTCACCCCTAGCTGCCCCCCTGGCAGCCTGGTTGCCTCTTACTGTCTCCCTTGCTGGCCTGGTCGCCCTTAACTGCCTCCCTGCTGGCCTGGTCGCCCCCAACTGCCCTCCCTGCCAGCCTGGTTGCCCCTCACACTTCCCCTCCCTCCCACTGGCCTAGTTACCCCACACAGCCTGCTGTTCAGTCATTTGGTCATTCCTCACTAACCCCCCTGGCCGGCCTGGTTGCCCCCTGCAGCCTGCTTGTTTAATTGTTTGGTCGTCCCTCACTAACCCCCTGCCAGCCTGGCCATAAGCAGCCATCTTGTGAGGGCATGACAGTCAATTTGCACATTACCTCTTTATTATATAGGATCATATTTTTATCTCCTTAATGGGCCTTAAATGTTTACTCTTCTTTCCATCTTTGTGGCATGGGTCTGTCTATTTCAGATCCTGCTCAGCACTCAGAACCATTCTCTAGGACTGTTAAATTAAGCTTTCCAAATCTGATTATTTCTCTCTCTAGTTCATAACCTTTCCATAATCCCACCAAGTTTTCCTGCCTTTCAGCATGGCACATAAGACCCATGTTTTTTTCCCCTCCTGCTTATCACTCCAGTCTCATCTTTCTAATCTTCATCCTTTGTCATCACCCTCCCCACACCACCTCCACATAACACTCAAACCACTGAGAACCTCTTTTATTTCCCTTAATGGAAGATATTCATGCATATATTTCCTTTCTTCCTTCATCTAGCTACCTAGCTTCTTACCTGTCTGTCATCCCTTTCCCCCAGTAGCTCTGATTTTGCCTGGCTTACCTCAGGTACACCTTTCCCTGACCACTCCCCTCTCAGTCTAGTCTGGGTGTCCCAGTTAGCTACACTGTGTGGCTGTCTCTACCAGGATAATATATTGTGGTTATCTATTTACGTACCTGCCCTCCCTTTAAACTTTGAGCTTCTTGTGAGTGTGTCTTATCTTTATATTCTCAGCACCCTAAAACAGAGGTAGGTCCATAACAGTCACTATGTAAATATATGGTAAGAGAATGAAGGAATTAAAGAAGGGAGAAATGAAATATAAACTCTTTCCATCATGGTTCTTTTGTTACCCAAATTCTGGAAGAAGTATTAACCACAGTATTTCAGGTCATTGTTTTAACAATAGGGTACATTTTATTAGAATAATTATATTTCAAAGAAGAGAAGGAAGACTTGGGATTAAAAAATATAAAATAAAATAAAATAAAAGGAAAAAGTATCTATTGACTAGAGGCTCAGTACACGAAATTCTGGCATGGATATGGTCCCTAGACCTGGCCTGTAATCAGGGCCATCTTCCCCAGCTGCCCAAAGCCAGCCCCGCCCCCTGCCGCCACCCATGCCTGGTTCTCTGTTCACCGTCGGGCGATCAGAGCCTGCCGGCTTGGGAGAGGGACCAAGAGGTTGGATATTCCCACCCGCACTTCAGGTCACCCTCTTGTGTGTGGGCTGACTGGTGGGGCGAGAGCCTTGGCCTGGCGCCACCCTTGTCCCCTGCCACCCACCCCCGGTTCCCTGTTTGCCAGCCGGGGGAAGGAACCAAGAGGTGGTCAGTGCACCTCATAGTGACTGGTCAAGCAGTCATTGTTGTCATTCTGCCATTAGAGTCAATTTGCATATTACCCTTTTATTACATAGGATGATTCCTAAAGTTGGCATCCTAGAGATCAGAAACCATAAAAAGAAACTCTCTTTGAAAATGTTGCTCTCTACAAAAGGCAGGCATACTGCCTATAATGAGGAAAATAGGTGATCAGGTGCTGTGCATGCCTGACTCTTCCCTGCTTTGGTGCGCCCCTGGCTCATGTCAGTGTCTCAGGCCGTCCTCTGCGAGTCCTGCCACTGAGGATGCTCTCCTTTCTGTTGTCTCTCATTTCAAACCTACCCAGCCCCTATTCATTAATCTTTAATCTTTATTGTTGAAAGTATTGAAGCTGTCCCCCCCTTCTCCCCATTAACCCCCTGCACCCCACACGCGTCTTCAGAGGTGTAGCCCTATCCTAGTACCTAGGAACCAGCGTGCAACAGGGCTGTGCTGCTAGCTAGTAGGGACACTGATTGCTGAGGGATTACACATTTAAAAAGGATTGTTTGTTATTTATTGCTAAGTAGTTCATATTCTGACCAGGAATATTTTACACTGCCTCCTCTTAGATTTTTCATTTACATTGACATCATTTTAACATATTCACTAATATATTGAAGAGACTCAGTTCTAGAGAGTGTGTTTAGGGCATAATGGGTCCAGGAACAACTGCTCTTCCTGATCCCCTCTTCCATTTCCATCCTCATTCCCAAGCCCCAGTTCTGCAGGTTTTAGGAAGTGCTTGAATGAGAGTGAGGAGGGAGAGAGGAGGGGAGGAGGAGGGGTGAGAAAGAAGGGGATGGGGAAAAGGGGTGCTAGAGGAGAATAGAGGAGGAAAGGAATAGCTCTAGCTGGGAATAGGTACATAAGAAAGATTTCACAACAATGAGGATATTTGGGTTGAATCTTAAAGAATAGCTAAGAATTAGGTAGAATGGTGGGGTGAAGAGGCATGCAGTGTTAAGAAAAGTCACATGTGATTGGAGGATGAGGTGGTGAATCAAAGGAAGGGGAAGATGGGATTGAGGATGGTAGGATTTGGAGCCATACTGAGTTCAAAACCTAAGCTATGTTTTAGAGTTGGGCATCACAGTCAGTAACAAAACAGAAAATTGACACCGTGACAGCTGTAGCAAACCTTGTATTGAGGAAGTTTCATTTAGTTTGGGAACTATTTTTGATGATAAAGTAAAATGGTACTAGATTGCTAGGAGGGCATGCAGAGCCTCTTTGTGAATCATGTTCAGTAAAACAAATTATTCAAATAATGGAATTATTTTTGGAAACTCAAACTCTCTTGATCATTTATTACTTATGAAGTGGATTAATGATTGAATCTTTTTTTGGGAGGGGGAGGAGCTGTATTAAGCAGAAGGCTATTTCAATGCTATGAGTGACCTTTCATCAATTAAAATACCTGAAGTGGTAGATGCTAAAGACTTAAAATTGCCATTAAAATGAGACTGGTAAGAGTTTTGGTGTCTCTATAAAGGCATTGGAGTCTATGCATGTAAAATATTTCCATCTCTTTAAAATAAATATATTATATATGTATACACTCAAATTCTGATTTTAATGCTAATAGCCTGCTTTTTACTTTTTTAACCAATTAACTTAACTCCTCAGGCATAACATTTTAAAATATGAGATCATTATATAATTCTCAGTATAGTTGCCAGAACTGTTTTCTGCCTAATTTTTAATGCTCTAACATCCATGAGATAACACTTCTGTGTTTGAACATGTGTTTCAGAAGCAATAGGTATTAGTTTTTAGTCATGAGGCTCATTTATTCCCTCACCTATGCCACATCCACATGTGCACAAATACAACAGTCACAATACCACACACACTCAATCTGAACATGTGTGCATATATTGTGCATTAGCCTGATATAGGAGAGAATTTACTTACTGAGCTTGCTAGAAGGTATTAGAAAACACCCTCTCACAGAGTTTACAACCTGGAATGAAGCAGGCATAACCCTCTTTGAAGGGGGTTACCTATGTTACCTTTAAGACATGTCTTTAGCTATAATTCTACAATTAACAGTTAGTGTTCTGAGTGGTTTCATGGGTCAATGCTTAAGGAAGCTCATTGATAATAGACTGTCTAACCAGGTGTCCCTCCAGGCAGAAATAAAAGGGGAGAAAACAGTGTCGTTCTATGAGGCATTTGGGAGTTATTTTTTTTTTATAAGTAGCATTTTAATTGTCCTCTGTAAATTATCCTCAGTGTCAAACTGCCTTAGATTTTATTACCACTATAAATACCTACAGTTAGTAAAGAACAAAAGTACATTATGTCTACTAGCTAGACATAATCTGAGCATCATACAATAGCAAAGGAAATGAAAATCTAATGGGTATAAAATTTTTTAGGAACGTGCAACTTTATAATTGCATTAAATCATTACCTTTCCTGATAGATTTTGTCAAACCAGCATGACTTATTTTAACAGAACAAACCCAGTTTTTCTGGCTTTTACTATTTATATACTGTTATACTCATTGAATAAGAACACTTTTTGAATGTTTTTTTAGAAGCTCGTTTTTAGCTGAAATGACAGATTCTGTGCAGCTTTGAGAAAAATGTAATGATTTTTGAGGAAAGGTGTTTCCTCTACAGGTGTGACATTACCAGGGCAGCAATAATTTTTTTATTCCTGTGGCCAGATTTCTTTAAAACTTCACCTAAAGTGTTATTGTGCCTTTAAAGTCACCTTTAAGATGAAATGCTCACATTATCCATATTTATCTTATACAGAATTCAATTGCTTTCTTTGGTCTGTTGTATGATTCTGCTCAAATTCACTGATGTCTTCTGAGACCAGTCTGACCAGAGCTGGAGTATTTCTGCTCCTAGCTTCCTGTGCCTTCTGATCTCAGATTCTGATTTTTCTCTTGGCTGAAGAAGAGCCAAGACTCACATGTTCTAGATGCTTCCCAATTTAGCCGAGTCATCTCTGGAAGATCAGGTTGGTAGGCAGGAGGGAGCAGGTGGGAATTTTGCTGAGCCTGTGATTGTTTGTCTAGGAATGCAGACCTGGAGATGACCCTGGAGCGGGCCGTGAGTATGCTCGATGCAGACCACACGCCACCTGCCAGGATTTCCATGGCGGCCACCTTCATACAGCACGAGTGCTTCCAGAAATCCGAAGCTCGGAAAAGGGTGAGTAGCATCTGAAATCTGTTGTAAAACTACATTTTTTTGTGGTGGTGGTGGTGGTGTGTGTGTGTGTGGGGGGGGGTTATAGTTCAGATAGGTAAGCAGTGAAAACTGAGTTTCTCTCCTACTCCAAACCCCAGCTTACTCCCCATTGCCCTCTTTTTCTCTCACTCTCCCACTCTCTCTACTACTCTCTCTCTCTCCTTCATATTCTCTCTCTCTCTCTCTCTCTCTCTCTCTCTCTCTCTGTCTCTGTCTCTGTCTCTCTGTCTCTCTCTTACCAGTTTCTGGGTATCTTTCCAGAGATACCTTATGCATGTAAAAACAATTATTGGATGGGTTGATTTTGTTTGAAACAAAATCACAAATGGTAGCAGATTATTTACAATGCTCTGTACTTTATTTTCATTTAATATTTTGGAAATCTTTCGTATATATTAGTTCTATTTTATTTTTTTAAACTGCTGCTTAGATTTCTGTTGTATAAATACACTAGTTTAGTTTGTTCATTTTTAAAATAGCTTTATTAAGGTATAGTATGACAAAGTTTTGACATGTTTTGGCACTGTGAAAAATCTTCACAATCAAGATAGTTTGATTGTGCCCTTTTGAAGTTTCCTTGTGCCCTTTTGTAATCCATACATCCCACCACTCCCCCATCCACTTCCAGACCCTAAGCAACCAATGGTTTGCTTTCTGTTACTATAGGTAATAGAGATTTTGTATAATTTTATGTAAATGGAATCAGATATTTATTATGTACTAGAGGCCTGGGTCACGGAATTCATGTATGGGGGTGAGGGGAGGGTCCCCTCAGCCCAGACTGCACCCTCCCAATCCGGGACCCCTTGGGGGATGTCCAACTGCTGGCTCCTAACTGCTCACCTCCCTGCCTGCCTGATCACCCCTAACTGGCCCCCCAACCCCCACCCCTGTGTGGGCTGGTGACCCCATGCAGCCTGTTACTCAGTCGGTTGGTCACCCCTCACTAACCCCCCTGTTGGCCTGGTCGCCTCACGCTGCCTGCTGATCAGTCATGTGGTCATTCCTTGCTAACACCCTGCCGACCTGGTCTCCCACATAGCCACATCGTGACCAATTTGCATATTACCCTTTTATTAGTATAGATACTATTTTTGTCTGGATTCTTTTACTCAGCATAAATCTTTTGAAATTCATTTATATATGTACAAGGAGTAGGGGTAGGGGTGTGTGTGTGTGTGTGTGTGTGTGTTGCATAGTAGCATTTCATTGACAGATATACCATTTAGTTGTAGATGTACATTTGAGTTTGGGCTATTACAAATAAAGCTGCTATGAACATACTTGTTAAAATATATATTTTCATTTCTTGGGTAAATAGCTTGGATGATACAGTATTAGGTATATATTTAACTTTTTAAGAAATTACCAAACTGTTTTTACAAAGTAGCTGTATCATTTTACTTTCCCACGAGCAATGTATGAGAGTTCCAGTTTCTCCATATGCTAAAATTTGAAATAATGAGTCTTAATTTAGCCCAAAGTGGTATTTCAATGTCATTTTTAATTTGCATTTCCTAATGACTAATGATAATAAACATCTTTTGACATACTTATTTGCATTTGCATATCTTCTTTGGTGAAATGTGTGTTCATATCTTTTGCCTACTATTTTTTAGGTGGTTTTTTTGTTTGTTTGTTTTCTTATTAAATTTTGATAATTCTCTATATATTCTGGATATGTTTATTTTTAGATGTGATTTGGAAATATTTTCTCACAGATGTGTTTTGTCTTTTCATTCTCTTAATAGTTTTTAATTTTGATGGAGTCTAATTTATCCATTTCTTTTCCCTTGTGAAGCATGCTTTTCATGGTATATCAGAAATCTTTCTGTATTCCAAGGTCACAAATATAATCTCCTATATTTTCTTCTAGAAGTTCTGTAAATGTTAGATTTTATAGTTGGTCTATGGTCCATCACCACACAGAGTTACAAAATTTTTTCTTATGATACTTTTAAGATTTACTCTCTTAGCAACTTTCAAATATAAAACACAGTATTACTAATTATAGTTACCATGCTGCACATTAATCCCCATAACTTATTTTATAATTGAAAGTTTGTACCTTTTGACCATTTCCACCCATTTTACCCATCTCTCAAATACTCACCTCTGGCAACCACCAATCTGTTCTCTATACCTATAATTTCTGGGTATTTTGTTTGTTTGCTTTTTAGATTCTTCATATAAATGAGATCATATGGTATTTATCTTTTTGTGATTTATTTCACTTTGTATAATGCACTCAAAATCCATTCATTTTTACACAGTGACAGGATTTCCATCCTTTTTATGGCTTAATAGTATTCATATGTGATATATATATATATAATATAAAATGATATATATAATATAAAATATAGGAGTATTATATGGTATATATATGTTAAATGTTATATATAACATTTTCTTTATCATTGATCTATAGCATATGTTAAATATTATATATAGTATATTTTAATATTATATATGTTAAATGTTATATATGTGTATACAGTATATGTACACATGTGTATGTACATATACAGTATAGCATTTTCTTTATCCATTCATCTATCAATGGACTCTTAGGTTGTTTCCAAAATTTTGTTAAGAAATTAGATACAGCTATATGTATAAAGGTTACTAATCTGTGATTTTCTTTTCTTGTAATGTCTTTGTCCAGTTTTGGATTGAAGATGATACTAGCCTAACAGAATAAATTGGAACGTGTTCTCTGTTCTTCAGTTTTCTGAAAGTTTCATTGTAGTTTTTTCAGACAAGAAATTTCCCGTCATTCTTATTCTGCCTCAGTATTAAACATAATGTGTCTCTGCCTCTCCCCCACCCCATCAAGCCAAGTTGCTTATAATAGTTTCTGTTTATCACTAGGGTTGAGCAATTTGGTCACAACATGTCTTGGTGTAGTTTTCTTGTGCTTAGGAGTTCATTGAACTTAAATTTGTGGATTTCTACTTTTCATCACATTTGGAATTTTGGTTGGAAATGTTTCACCATTTTTTGGCCCTTCTTTGGGAACTCTATTTGCATACATATCAGGCTGCTTGAAGTTGTCCCACAGCTCACCCTTACTCGTTTTTCTTTTTTCTCTTCCCCTGTGTTTCCTTTTGGATAATTTCAATTGTTCTACTTTAAATTCAATAATCTTCTGCAATGTTTAATCTTATTCAGTGTATTTTTGTATTTCATAAATTATAGTATAGTTTTCATCTCCAGAAGTTAAATTTGAGTCTTTTTTATATCTTCTGTGTCCTACCTAACTTGTTCCATCTTTCCCCAAGATTTATGAATATACAGAAGACTGTTTAAATTACTGTTTAAATGACCTTGTCTGCTAATTCTAATATCGCTGTCTATTCTTGGTGGGTTTCAATTGATTTATTTTTCTCCTCATTATCAGTCATATATTTCTCCTTTGCATGCTGGAAATTTCTTATTGAATGCCACGTATTATGGATTTTATTTTGTTGGGTGCAGCATATTTTTATTTTCTTTAAATATTCTTGAGCTTTGTTCTAGGCTGCAGTTAAGTTCCTTGAAAACAGTTTGATCCTTTGAAACCTTGCTTTGCAAATTTGTTTGGTGGGACCAGAGCAGCATTTATTCTAGAACTAACTAGTCCTTCTTATGGCAAGACACTTCTGAGAACTCTCCCTAATGCAGCATGACTTAGGAGGTTTTCTGGCTAAGTGAGAATAGGAGGGTTTGTGGCCCGTATGTTCCCTTAGTCCTTGTAGGTGGTTATTTCCCTGGCCTCAAACAGTTTCCTTACACACATGCTTTTATTAACACTCAAAACTAGAGTGTCTTTCTCTGCAGCTCTTCTCTCTGGTACTCTTCCCTGCAAACTACTGGCCTGTTTGTTTTTTCTTAGACTCTGCACTATCTCCTCAACTCTGCTTGTGGAATTCCACTTATTTCCCTTGATGCACTACCATCACCTGGAAACTCTCTCAAGGCAATGATCCAAGACAGCAGTGAGGCTCACCTTGCTTGTTTTCCACATATTGAGTCATTTTCCATCATTGCTCCCCCCATGTCCCGTTATTGAAACCATTGTATGCTTTGTCTGTTGTGGTGGTGTTGTTTTTCACTGTTTCAGGGCATAGGTAAATTCATTCCTTTTCCCTATTGAGACATTTTTTGTTTTGATAAATCCTCGCCCAAATTATACAAATTTACACTCCCACTAGTATTGTGAACCATTATTACCATAGGATATTAATTTTTGTTTTTTGTTAATTTGACAAGCCCCCCCAAAAAAAGCATTTTACTATTTTCTTTGAAATTAAGACTAATAGTTGGTTAATCAAACAGTTACAGAGAAAATATTTTTTAAAATTATACGCATACACACAAAGTTTGTCATCATCTTTCTTACATAAATGATGCCTTTTATGTATATTTACCATTTTTAGTTTCTTTAAAATGAAATAAGAACTTAATGGCACTAATCCCTATGAGTTCAAATCCTAGAATTTTATATGTTGTCTACTCTTTTAAGTAAATGTTGTCTACATATAATTACAGAACTTTTTAGAGTTCTTCACCTTCGTGTAACCTTTCCAAAGCACTCAGATTAGTTTTCAGAGAGACAGAACTCTTTTCATACTTATATTCATTCATTTCAGAATCCAATATAATGAAGAGGTAATATGCAAATTGACCATCACTCTAACACACAAAGATGGCCGGCAGGAAAGAGTAGTTGTGGGGGGGACCCAGGAGCCTGCAGGGGAAGATAGTTGGGGGAGACCAGGCCTGCAGGGGAGGGAAGTTAGGGGCGGCCAGGCCTACAGGAGAGGGCAGTTGGGAGCAACCAGGCCTGCAGGAAAGGGAAGTTAAGGATGACCAGGCCAGGAGGGGAGGGCAGTTAGGGGTGACCCGGCCTACAGGGGAGGGCAGTTGGGAGCAACCAGGCCGGCAGGGGAGGACAGATAGGGGTGACCAGGCATGCA